CAAAGGCGCGCCAGCAGCCGGCCGGGCCCTCCCGCTCCGGGCACAGATGCGACGCGGCGCGTCCCCGCCGGCGGCAGCTGACGGAGCGCGGCCGGGGGACAATCGGGGCCGCCCCTCTGTCTGTGCTGTGTGGGATCTGGGTCACGGATGCGGCCCGGCAGTGCGGGGCAGCGGCCGTACCGCGTCCTGAGCGTGTTCCCCTCTGCGTTTCCTGTCTCTTTCCCCGTCCATCTGTATATTTTTTGTTCTTGTCTAAGGGGAAGAAAGGGATTTTATTTATTGACCGAATTACCGCTGAGGAGCTCCGGGCGCAGCCGGGCGCGGAGCGCGCGGCTCCGGCAAAAGCGCCCGGTGCCGTTTCCCCGTCCAAAAAAACACACAAAACAAAACAAAACAAAACAAAACCGAAACGCCGCACGGAAGGACGCGCTTTGTAACTTTTCCCATCGCTTTTCTACTTCGCTGCTGCGGAGATCCCCGGCCCCAACGCCGCGCACCGCCCCGCGCCGAACAAAGGACGGCCGCGCGCCGCCCCCCGCCCTGGAGCGGCTTTGCGGAGCGCTGTGCGGACGCGGCATGGAGGCGGCGGGGGGACCGCGTACCCCTCGCTCCGCAGTGCGGGGCCCGTCCCGGAGCGCGGGAGCTCCCGCTGTACATATTTGATTCTTAATCCTTATTGTTCTGTAAACATGTTGCACAAATTTAGCTTTTTTCTTTCTTTCTTTCTTTCTTTTTTTTTTTTTTCCTTTTTTCTCTTTTTAATTCTGATTTCCGTTTCGTGTGGCTGTACGACATGACGCTTTGTGTACGGAGATTTGCCATTTTCTTGTGACCCTCGGAAGATGTGATACCTGAGCTCAGCTGTGTTTCGTGTCTATATGTCAAAGTTTAGTTTTATATTGAGAATGTTAACTTATTGCTTTGTATTTGGGGAAGGAAAAGAAAAAAACAAAACAAAAACAAAAACAAAAAAAAAAAAACAAACACAAACCTTTGTACATAAGTTATAAAGTTTCTTTGAGACAGTAAAACTATGGTTTGGAAAAAGAGCTCCGCGTGGTCCATGTCTCGCTGGGCGGCCTGAAAGGGCTCCGTGCGGGCACCGTGGGTCCGATGGGTACCCACACAGCGCCCCACGGGCAGATCCGGACTTCGGGACTTCGGGGCTTCGGTCTCGTGCCCACTCACAGAGCGCACACGCAAGGAGAACCCTTCCCCGGAGCTCCGCGCATCGGGACCGGGAGCTGCGGCCAAAGCCAGCGGCCGCGCATTGCCCGCGGACTCGCGCCGGTCCCCGCGGAGCTCTCTGAGCGGGGCCGGGACGGCGCTCAGGGTCGGCCGGGTGACGGACCAACGTCGAGCTTACGGTACGAGCACAGAAATGGGGAGCTCTGCCCCAGCGAGGGGTCCCGAGCAGGGAGTCTGTTCTCACCGTTCGCTGAGACGCGACTCTCAAGCCGGGCCTCGTTAATTCTGCCTCGTCGCTGACGAGGGGTTCGTCACGTATCTGATTCGGAGATATTCGTAATGAGGATATTAATTAAACTCGGAATAATCCGAAGGTGCTTCTATTGAGACAATACCTCATTACGATGATTAAGCCCTGGTTTCCAACATTGTCCATTGTCCCTTTAACAGCCGTCGCCCCGCGCGCACAGACCCCGCGGATGGGACAGCGAGTGGCGAAGCGTAATTTGGAGATCTATTCGGAGATCTATTTTTTCCCTCGTCGGGGAAAAAAAAAAAAAAAAAAAAAAAAAAAAAAAAAAAAACTCCCCTCATTTTCAAACACTTCGGAAATAGGTTACACACAGCTTAATGATGATCAAAATGACTCTTTTCTGCGAAAAAAGACCCCAAAGTGCGCGTACAGCTGCAAACCCAAGAGGGTCAGCATCATTTCACTGTATTCTCTTCTTGATTACAAGCCGAGCCCATCAAACACAACATAATTACAGTAATTTCAGGTTTATTTATTCTAATGCAGTTTCCCCATCTCTCTGGTAATTATGAGCAATTTTTTCGCCCAGGGAATCTTTTTGCATTAACAAAAGAGATAACGCACTGAAAGCCAAATTTGCTGCGCATTGAGAAAAGCGAAGGAAAAAAAAAAAAAAAAAAAAGCGGTAGGTGCGAGCTGCCATCCCGCAATTCGGCGCTGCAAATTGCTTGCAGGTGTATGGAGCAGCGCTGTCAATGGGAAGGGGCTTCCAAATTAGCAAATGCACGATGTTGAAGTAATAAAGACGGACTGAGCGGCACTGCCAAACAACGGATACCTCTTTCACATCTTCCACCCGAAAAGAAAAAATAATAATAATAAAAAAAATCCCCTCGGAGCGTCCCCGCGAAGCCCCGCGAGTGCCTGCGGTGTCAATCCGACGGCAAAGCGCAGAGCGGCCCTGAAACCGCAAACAGTCGGAGAGTCCGAGCCCCGCACCCCTCCGCCGAACAGGGGGGGAAGCTGCCCCGCGCTCTCCCCTCGACTCCCGTGGGGAGCAGCTCGGCGTCTGCCACCCTCCTTCCCCCCGATCTCCCCGCGGCACCGCCCAGGCGCTCCGCGGCCACGCGTCCCCCGAGCGCGGCGGGGATCGCGGCCCCGTACCCGCATCGGATCCCCGCTCGGCCCCGGCTCCTCCGCGGCGGTGTCCCTGCGCCTCGCGGCGCGCACTCACCTGGCCCCGGGGCGGCGGCGGCGGCGGCTCTCCGGGCTCCGGGCGCGGCGCTCCGCGGTAGCGGCGGGCGCCGAGCGCGGGTCGGGCTGCGGGGTGCGGAGCGGAGAGCCGGGTGGTAGGGCTGAGGAGGGAGAGGAGAGGGGAAAAGGAGCGGCCGAGCGCGGGGATCGCGTCCTGGGAGCACGGCGTGGGCTGAGATCCGCGGAGCGGAACGCGCTCCGGGCGCGGAGCCTTTTCGCGGCTCCGCTCTCGCAGAATATGACTGAAATTTTCTGCTATATAGCCTCTGTCTTTATAGCTGATGAAAAAAATTGCAGATTATTAGCATAAATGTTTACTCTTCATTACGCTGATGACATTGTGCACTCGAGATCTTGGTAATCTTTGGGAAAATTATGAGTAATTTTTAAAAATTTTAAAGCAGCGGCAGTTACCATGCAATTCAGGCTAATTCTGCGTAGGCTCCGAACGGATATAATTATCGAGGAGTCAAGATGTTATGCTAAAAACTATGCATTGATATTCCCATTTATTATGTACATACAACTTTGACAATGTTGATGCTTGAAATAGCAGGAAATTGTCTTGCGCAAAAATTACAGTCCATATTAGGACATGTGAAATTGCGAAGAATTATATAGTAATTGCAGGCTTTCAGATGGGAGAGCCAGAATGCTCAAACTGGTGCAAATGTGGATAAAATTACAGATCAGAGCAAAAATTAGGGAAAAAAGGGGTCTGGGATTTTTCAAGTTGGCTATAGGATTCCGGAAGTGCCTAATGCCACATGATTGCTGCGGCTTTAGGGGAGACATTCATGCCTCAAATAACTCCTTTCGCCAGAGCCGCTCTAATCGAATTTCTCGGGCTCTGCTCTTCACCGGGGCACACGAGCGCGGCGCCCACCCGCCGAGCGCCGCCGACACCCGCAGCCCCTCGACGGGGACAGACGGGAGGGGGTGGAAAGCGGTGGGGGGGCGGTGCCGAGAAGAGCCCCACGGACCTTCCAAGGGCGGCGCGGCGGGACCGCACGGGGCGCTTCGTCCCGTTCTCGACGGCCCCGCTTCTCGACGCAGCCCGTCCCGTGCCCCCGGGCCGGAGGACGCGGGTGCGAGGAGCACCGCCGGCCCGTGCGGGCCCCGAGCCGGGTGCCGGGGTTGCTCGGGGGGATGCTCGATAAAGGGCGAAGCGGTGGAGCGAGGACAGGGAGAAGGGACGCGCAGAGGACGGAGGGAGGAGCGCGGGATGCCTCGCTCTCGCGGAGCGCTGCGCGGCTCCCGGCCCCCGACGGCGGCCCCGGCCCCGGGCGGAGCGGGCCGCCGAGAACGGGACTGAAGAGCGCGGGGCAGGGAGGCGGTCCCGGCAGCTCTGCCGGACCCACGCCGCCCTCCCACCGCGCGCTGTGACACCGCCCGTCACCGGGGTGCTCCCCGCCACGCGGGTCCGTGTCCCGGTGGGTCCCTCCGCCCGGCTCCCCGCCGCTTCCCTCCCTGCGCGCTGTCACCCGCGTCCCCGCGGGAGCGTCCCCGGGTAGCGGCCCCTTTGTTTCTCCCGCTCTCCCCTCCCTCGCAGCCGTCCCTCTCCCCCTCCTTTCTCCTGTTCCTCCGCCCCTCTGGGCCCACACCCCTAAAGACCCTCCCCGAGGCTCCCGGCAGCGCACCGCACGGCCGGGGACGTTCCGAGCGCGGTGTGCGCCCAGCGAGTGGCGGGGCTTCGCGCTGCCGGAGGCGCGAGGAATGACTCAGAGCCGCCCCGCGGGGCTGCGCGGGCGGGAGCGGGGTACGGGACGGGGCGGCACCCCGAGCCCGCTCGTGTGGCGTCGATAGGATGTCGAAGGGGGGCTGCTTCGCCCCAGGTCAGCATCGGGCCAGGACCGACGCCCCCGACCACCCCCGTCCCCAAAGAAACGGAGAGCTGGCACCGTGGAAACAATAATTTATTTAAATAATCTCTGCTTGCTGTAAAAGAAACACGAAAGAGCGCTGAAGTTTTCCATAATAAATAACCAAAATACCCTTTGTTTGTTTATGTCGTGTCACGGCTCTCAGCGCTACGCTGACAGCCGCGTGCCGAGGGGGCTCCGTCGGGGCCCGATCCCTCCCGGGGGCACCGGAGAGGGACTCCCGTGCACGGCCTTGGGGGGCGACGGGACGCTCCGGCTTTAAACCTACATATAAAACATATTTATCTTTTTTTTTTTCTTTTAATCGTTTTATTTTTATTTGTTTGTTTGTTTGTTTGTTCAGTCCCCAACATCAGAATGAGGTCTTCCGCAAAGGCACCTATCGACTTAAAAAAAATAAAAAGGGAAATGACCCGCGGTCCCTAGAAGACGCCGCCGCCGCTTCCGCCGTGGTGCTGAGGGAGGGAGGCGGCGGACGGCGCGGGGCCGGGCGGGTACCACGCGTAGCTGCCGAGAAAGGCCGCAGCGGGGCCGGGGGAGCCACTCCCCGCGCGTGGGTGCGGGGCGAAGTCCCACGCGGGCGGCGAGGCAGGGGGCGGCGGCGAGGCGCTGCGGCGCGGGGGCGGCTCGGCGGGCAGCTCGCCGCACTTCCACATCTTCTTGAACTTGGAGCGGCGGTTCTGGAACCAGATCTTCACCTGCGGGAGAGCGGAGAGAGGCGTCAGCGCCTCGCGGCTGCCCCGTCGGGCCGAGCGGCGCCGGGCAAACCCTACCTGGGTCTGAGTGAGGCCGAGGGAGGCGGCCAGCTCGGCGCGCTCGGGCAGCGCCAGGTACTGTGTCTTCTGGAAGCGGCGCTGCAGGGCCGCCAGCTGGAAGCTGGAGTAGATGGTGCGCGGCTTGCGGACCTTCTTGGGCTTCCCGTTGACGATCCGCACCTCGGGCTCGCACTCTTCCTTCTCTGCTCGGCGGAAACGGCGCCGTGAGGAGCCGTGGCCGTGGCCGCGGCCGCGCCCCGCCCGCCCCGACGGCCGCCCCGCTCCCCCCGGCCCCGGGCCGCGACGTACCGGAGTCGTTGGCGGCCGGCGAGGCCCCGGCGCCGTAGGGCCCATAGGAGCCGTAGGCGGCCGCGTAACCCGGGTCGTAGCCCGGCTTGGCGGGGAAGGGGGCGGTGCCGGGCGCGTAGGGGCAGGGCACCGGCTGGCCGTAGGGCTGCCGGTTGGCGTAGTAGCTGCTGTCGGTGGCGGTGGAGACGGGCAGCGTGGGGGACTCCTGCGGCTTGTGCAGGCCGTGCTGCTGATAGCCGCCGGCCGAGAGCTGGCTGGCGTGCATGTCCGGCGCCGGGCTCGGCAGGACGCCGGTCATCCCGCAGCCCCCGCCCGCCCGGGGCACACCGCCCAGCGCCGTTCCCGCCGGCTGCGGCGCTCAGGGCCGCGGCGCCATCCTGCCGCCCCTCGCACTGCGCTGCACCGCCGGGCCAGGCGGGCACCGCGCTCCCGCCGCCGCCAGCGGGACGGGTGTGCGGCGCCGCGCGCCGCCGGGGCGGCATTTAACTCCGGTCACGTGGGCGCGGCGCACGTCACCTAGCAACTGCCAATGGGGCGCCCGCGCGCGCCGCATCTCCGGGGCCCAGCGGGGCGCGAGTCGGGAGAGACGCGGGGGCTGATCCGGCCGCCCCGTCGGAGCCCGGAACCCTGCCCTGCCCTGCCCTACTCTACCCTATTCTACCCTATCGTCACGTTGCCGGCGAGCACCGACGGGGCGGTCCCAGAGTACAGCATCGCGTCGATGCGGCTCCCCTGGGACGCCCGCGCGCACGCGCCGGTGGCTGACGGCCCCCCCAGGCCGTGCCCCCCTCGGCGGCGGCGGTCCCGGCGCCGTTGCGCTGCCCGACCGTCGGGGCGAGAGGCCCGGCTCCGGCCTCGGACGCCCCCTGTTGCCGCGCGCGGCGCTTCGCTCCCTCCGTGCGCGCGCCGCTCGCGCAGCGCCGCGCTCCCCCTTCCCTCGCGCGCTCCTTCCCGCTCCCGCCGCGCACCCCAACGGTCGCCGCTCGCGCTCCCCACACGGGGCGGGCGGCTGCCCGGGGCCGCTCCTCTACGGGACCCGGCCGCGGCGCGCCCGACGGTCGGAGGTGAGCGGGACCGGCGGGCGGCCGGGAGCGGGGCGGGAAGACGGCGGCCGTCGCGAGGATGCGGCGGGGTGCTGGGAGAAGAAAGGCGTGTTGCGCGGCTGTGGGAGCGGGACCGGCGGGGCCGCGGCTCCGGGAGGGCCTCCCGCGCGCTCCGCTTCCCTCAGAGAAACTCGCCGCGGGGCCGCCCGAGGCGGGGCAGCTGCCGCCCGTCCCCACCAGCACCCGCGCGGGGCGGCAGCCACACGGGAGCGACCGCCGGGTGCCGCTTCTGCAGGTGTCCGCACGGCCCGGCCCGCGGAGCCGCTCTCGCTGCCTCTCGGTTGCTCGCCGCCGTCGATTCAGACGGTTTGTTTGGCCGTGCCGGCGCCGGGCCGTCGGGCGGCGGGGGGGAGGCGGGGTGAGGGATGTGCAGCGCACGGCCCGCTGCCTCGGCGCTGCCAGGGTTGCGTGCAGGGAAGGGAAGCGTTCGAAGCTTTGGTTGCATCGAGTTTGCACCGGCGTGCGTCTCTCATCGCCTGAGGCTGCCGAACACGTGGGCTGCCTTCGTTGGCGTTGGCTTCCCTGGTTTGGAAGTGTCCTCCTGTAGAAGACAGCGCCGCGGGCGCTGTTAGTCAGATACACCAAACACACTGCGTGCACCACGCTGGAGTTCCATTGCTCTTCAGAGTCGCCTCTCCAGATGAGCTGTATGTGTTCATTAATTTTTTTTTTTTAATTTTTCTTTTTTTGCAGGGCAATTTTATATGGCTCACAGAAATGTCTGCAGCAACTTCTGCCTGGTATGTTCTATTTTTATTAATTATTGCTGTTGTGGTTCTTTTGCTAAAGCAAATGTAATCTGAGAAAAAAAAAAAAAAAAAGTGAAAATGCTTAAAGCCTGCTGTTCTCGGTCTTTAAATATTTAGCCTGGTATCAAGAGGACAAGATGTCCTATGAGTGTTTTCTCTCGTGTCCGACTTGAAGGGAACCACGCTCAGCATTAGAAAAGAGATGAGTTTCTAATCGCCTGTAATTGTGATTATCATTTGATCCATTGTAATCCACATCTCCCTGAACAATTTATTTCACTGATTTAAGTATGAATGTGATGAATCTCAGGAAATGAGCCTGTTCTTTTTGACAATGCTAAACCTGAGTAATTGGACAGTAGCGTCAGCTACAATGGTACATCGGTGAGCGCAGGTTTCTTTTGTGGCTGTGTGAAATGCTTTCTGGTAGATTTATAGTAACACAATGCCTGGATAGTCCTGAGCAGGTGTCTTGGTAATAGAAAGGCCACTTACTTCTTGTGCCATGTGGAGCTGCGGATGGGGCTCTTGCTAGCATTGCATCTGTGAGATCTGGTGTTGCTCCCTAGTAATGGTAATGGTTAACAGGTAAAAATTCACATCTGAGGAATTAAGCTTATCAGCTTTCGGGAAATCGCGAGTCTTTTCAGTGCCCGTCCGGAAGCTTGCTACCCACTGTGCTTAGTTTCCGAATCCAGTGTTATCATTTTCCTCTCCAAAAACTGTTTATCATCTCATCCATCTGTGCATCAGATTACTTTATTCCAAAAATCACAGACTCTTCTGGGAAGGATATGACCTCTTGCTTGGCTCCCCAGGGTGCCAATTCTTTGTCCCTTGTTGTGAACAGCTTATACAAGCATGATAGCAGGCTTTGCATGATCCTTTCAGAGTTGTTTGTAAGACTGTCTTGTCTAAGTGGAGATTCGCTGGCTGCTCAAGTCTTTTTTCAACAGAAACCTTTGCAGTCTGAAGCACAACCTGTGATTTTAGTAGTTCATTAGCCAACTGTTATTTAGCACAGGTGATTGTTTTCTTGTGCCATGGTGGGGAGATGCACAGCCTACGTTGGGGTGAGCTGTAATCATCACATTCATTGGTCTACTTGCTTGTGCATACTGGGGGGAGACTGGAAAGTCTTTGTGTGTGGAACGTGAGGAGATCGGTGCAGTGATCCCCCACGTGCGGCGCACAGGTTAGGGAACAAGGCAAAGTGCTCCTGGGCAGTCCCTCCTGCCCTCTTTTATGGCTGTGAAATCCTTCCTGGTGCTGAAGTGTGGTGCTTCTGGCTGCTTGGACCAGTCCTCCCGTTTCCGTAAATTCTTTTCCATAGCAAACTGTATCACAAGTAATAGTACTGACTAAACAGTATGCTTTTCTCTGTAAGAAGGCAATAAAATGGTATTTTTTGGAGTGCTATACAGCAATGTTACCCAGGCTCTTCAGCCTGGAGCAGATGGATCTGAGCCCACTTTCTAGTGGATTTAAGCAAATTCGGGTTCAACTCATAGGTAAATCTTCGTTTAAAGTGTTTTATATGTGAATATTTAGATGACAAAAATCTTTAATAAGAGCATGCAGGAAAAACATTCTCAATGTGAATCACTTAGTAGTTGCTAACACTGCTGCAGATGACAAGTGTGAGGGACGATGAGAGGCGTGTTTTGGGGGAGCAGATGTAGGCTGTGTCGATCATTTGTGTTGCTGTGAGCTCCACTTGTCACAGGTAGTAGCAAAAAGATTTTTTTGCCTTCCTTGCAATTTCTGTACATCTTTTACCTGTGCAGTCTGAGCAGAGTTTGAGCAAAGCGTTCAACATGGAGAATAACCTAGGCTGCTTTGGTTTTACTCTGTGATTATTTTAAGGCTCAATTTAGTGGGCAATGCTATTTGGAGCTGAGAAATGCTCTCTTGCCTTGGTGTGCTTGGGTGAGTCCTGATCTGTAGTGCCAGCGGACTGTTTGAGATGTGGAGTGCAGTTTCTGCTGCAGCCCATTTCTTGAGCTGATGATGCCTCTGACCGGCAAATAACAAGGTCTGTCCCTGCTGGAAAACGTGACTATCTTGCCTGGAAGAACAGAACGTTCGCTGTTCTTTAAGGAAGATCTTTTCAGCAGTTCCTCCTGAGTGGATCAGACACACCTGAGGCAAATACTGCTTTCCATTTGGAGTGACACTGAATGGACTCAAACTGTGGGCAAACTGTAGAAGTCCTTGTGGGAACACTTGAGCACGTGCTCTGGGATTTAGCACTGTCTGTCCCAGTTTCCTTAAGCAGTTTAGGTACAGCCGGTGAATGGCTCAAAGATGTAAACTTAAAGCATTTTTCTTTCCTGTGGTGAGAAAATATATACATACAAACTACAAAAAACAATTGCCCTTAGAATCAAATAGATTTTCTTTTTTTGTTTGTTTTAAAAAGTGATTGAGTCAACATGGTCAGGAGTAAGTCGAAGTGGTCTTGGCTTACAGAGCCATGGCTGTCCGTGAGCTGGCTGCGGACCCTTTCCTCAAAGCATGAAGAGAGAGGGGGGTTTAGTCTGCTAATTGTCCACGAAGAGCACTCAACCTCCTATTCTGCACACACATCTATCCTGAAATTGTTTCTCCCTTGAAGGGAAGGGGTGAAAGGAGCACTGCTCAGATTCACAAGCCTTCCTGGCTTTTCACTTCTTGTGGTTGCTTACCTTACTCCACTGACTGGTGCTTTACATGTGCATTTCATCCATATTTCACCTGATAGTATTTTTCCCATTGGTAGAACGCCAATATCTCGGAATGACATACCTATTATGGACACTGCTATAAATCTAAGTAAATGAGATTAGAATGTTGTTTTTCACTTTTATGCATGGCTTGTGTGTAGCCTACCTCAAGCTCCCTAAATGTTCTTTTTTTTCCCCCCATTATTATCCTTCTTGTTTTTTTTTTTTAACTGACTTGGAAGCATATAGCCCAGAATGAGAAAGCAAACTGAAAGCACTGACTGCAGAAGTAGAGCACAGCAACAGCTAATAAGCGATTACATGGGCTGGTAGGTGGGAAGCTGGCTAAGAAAATACAATTGCCATCAGGCTTTCTTACATTATTAAGCAACTTTGCATCTAATTCTCAGAACTGGTTGAAAAATCGATTAAAAATAGTAATGGGAACATTTAACTGTAAATAAAGTAAGTGGCCACATGATGTCCCCACTGTTCCATGCTAATGCATGTGATGGGGCATTTATAGCTTCCTACAAAGCTGACACTTAAGTAACAAGTTTAGCATCCATTTTTATGTTCCCAGTTCTTATTGATAAATCAACCAACACCTGGTTTAATAGCTAGAGAAAGTAAAAGGGGAATGCATTGGTTACCTCACTTGCTTTTTGTCTGAGTTCTTTAAATCCCAAAGACTGGGAACAAACAAGACTTGATTTTTTTTGAGGCAACATGTATTCATTC